TTGGCATCAGTGATGACTCCAAGATCCTTTTATTTCTCTGCACTGATGAGAAGGGAGTTCCCCAGCCTGTAGGTATGCTACTGGTTCTTCCTCCCCAAGTGCATCACTTTGCACTTGTCAGTGTTGAATCCCATCCTATTCTCGTCCACCCACCCCTGTAACCTGTCTAGGTCCGATTTGTAGCCTATTCCTTCCTTCTAACATGCCCACATCTTAGTGTCATCATTATTTGAGCAGGGTGCTTTTTACCCCCTCGTCCAAGTCCACTGATGAAGATGTTGAACAGTGTGGGCCCAAGGACCAAGCCCTGGGGGACCCCATTGCCCACATCCCTCTAGGTCGAAAATGACCTATCCACCACCACGCTCTGGGTGCGGCTCTCCAGCCAGTTGGCGACCCATTTGACTGTGTAGTTGTCGACACCACAGTCCCCCAGTTTCTTAATGAGAACAGGGTGAGAGACAGTGTCGAAGGCCTTCCAGAAGTCCAGGAAGACTGTCCACTGCTACCCCTGCGTCTAAGGATTTGGTGACCTGGTTGTAGAAGGCCACCAGGTTGGTCTGACAGGACCTGCCTCTAATGAACCCGTGTTGGTTGCCCCTAAGCATAATCTCCCCTGCTGGCCCCTCGTGGACATGCGCCAGGATAATTCTCTCAAAAAGCTTGCCCAGGATCGAGGTAAGACTAACTGGCCTATAGTTCCCCGGGTCCTCCTTCCTCCCCTTTTTTGAAGTTGGGAACCACATTGGCCCTCTTCCAGTCCTCTGGCACCACACCAGAGCACCACAAGTGCTCGTACAGCTGTGCCAGGGGTCCCGCAATGACCTCAGCTAATTTGTGGTTCTTCCTTACAGAAGGGAATGCCCTTTCATAGTTGGGCTGTCCCTCTGAGAGATGCAGAGCTCAGTGTCTCCATCCTTTTGCACACAGCAGCACTTTGTGGCTAATGGGCACTGTCTTTTCCTTTTACAGCCTACCAGCAGCAGCAGCAACAGCCTCCATCTCATTCCTATGGCTACAAGGAGCCTGCCGCTTCAGTCTCTATACAGCGTAGTATCCCTTCCGGAGGAGGGGTGAGTATTGCCTGGAGGATAACAGTGATACTGAACAGGCCTAGCTATGATGCCAGTTGCCCAGTCCTTAGTCATAGCAGATGGTGTAGGTCAGGGTTTGCTCCAGTCGGATACCCTCTTCCAGCTGCTGCAAACTCTCCTGCATTGACGGGGAAGAATTTAGATTCCCTTAGCTCTCCTGCTCCCTTGATGCTGTGGTGAAAATTGATGGCAAGTCTCCTGTGCTTTTGCTGCCTTGTTTCCAAGGCTATGGTCCTGAGCTCTGCCTCCTGTATTGCTGTGCTTAACCTGGGGTCCTACACTGCTGCTTACTGACTAGGGGAGGTGTTTCTAGGTCTTTTACTGACCTTTGCACAGCCAGCTTTTCCCTCCTTGCCTCCCTCCTCTCCCCCTGATTTGCAGGCTTTTCTCTTCTGTACACTGTGTGGTTGCTCTGGGGATGGGATGTTTTTGTTCAGTTTTTTTTTGTGCGTGGGGGGGTGCCTTTCATGGGCTGGGTAGGGGCTAGAGCAGTGGTTCTCACTCTCAATAGACTCAAGGCACCTCAGAAAATGCTGGCTCTTCATTTTTTCATTTGTTTGACTACGGAAAAAATAATAGAGCAATTCTTTTGTTGCAAAGAACTTGGACTTCAATGGGTCAGAACACTATGGATTTCCGCTTAGGTTCTCTAGCTTTACCTTGTGACTCATGTAGGTGTTTGCAAATCTAACAGTGTTAATGTCATGGGGTGCCAGGCAACCCTTAAAATGATCTTGTAGCACCCCAGGGTGCTGCAGCACCTTGGTGGAAATAGCTGTGCTGGAGCTTCTGATGTGTTGCTGACTCACTTCTCCCTACCCTGCAGAAGCGGTTCCGTGCTGTCTATGACTACAATGCAGCTGATGAAGATGAGGTCTCCTTCCAAGACGGTGACACCATCATCAACGTGCAGCAGATAGATGATGGCTGGATGTATGGCACCGTGGAGCGCACAGGGGACACCGGCATGCTCCCAGCCAACTATGTGGAGGCCATCTGAGCCTTGAGGAGAAGGGGGGACACAACCCAACACCCAAAGCACCCCGCTCGCACTGGGGCCCCCCCATCGCGTGTGCGTGTCTCATCCAGCACCCTTCTGCCATTCCTCCACCAGAGCTGCATCCCTCTCATGTCCATACTTTGTGTTCTGAAACTCTGCAGCCGTCTCCCGGTTTCTCTTGCCAATGTAGCTTTTGTTTCATAGATCCCATAGCTCTGTTGAGACTCTGCAGGAGATCTGTCTAGTGACCACACCATATGACCCGACAGCCCAAACCATTGCAGCTTTTCTCCCCCCTCCTACCTCTTCCTTGTAACTGTCAAGGGGTTTAGGGCACCAGTTGGGGGCCCTGCCTCTCCAGGGGCACTTTCTGACTGGTGGAAACAGGTTGAGTCACTGGGATCCTAAACACTGGGAGAATCCCAGCTAACCCCCCCACCCCCCAAACAGGAGCAAATTCATCCATCTCTACTAGGGACCAAGCCAAGCAGTTAGAGTAACAAGGGACCAATGACTGAGGGGGTTGCTGCCTAGCGGCAGGGGTGAGGAGGGCTTGTGGCCTGCTTTCTGCCTGATTAACTAGGGTTTCTGTTCTTCAGAGCCACAAGCATCTCCTGTCTGGAGCTGGTAACACCCTGGCCTGTGCAGCTTTTGCTCTGGGCCACTTCCTAGTTTCCACATCTATCTCTTGTCCACTGCTAAACATTCCCAGTGAGTTGTTCTCCCCATCAGCCTTTCACCACTACAACTTTTAGTGAAAACTTTTTTTTTTTAATCTTTTCATGACCTGAGTCAGTAGATCCAAAAGGCTCTTGAAGAGGCCTTGTGCTTAGTTCTGTCTTGTTTTTGGTTGATCATTGTTCTGTGCTGCCTGTCCTCCATGGCACTGAGGTCTGTAAGGTCCAGTGGGGGGATGGAGGCAGCTGTGGCAGGGAGCAAGGGGGTCAGAACCTAATCCTGAGACCTATGGACCCCCTTTACCCTCAAGTCTTTCACAGGTCTGGGAGGGGTTGGCATCTGCAGCAGGGACCACAGCACAGCACTGAATATTAGCCCATGGCTGCTTCTGTCTGAGGGCTCCATGCCTTGAAGTGGGGGGTAAGGATGGGCAGGGGAGACTCTACTTTTCCCCAAACTGGGACACTGCTGCCAAGCAAGAGGAATAGTCACTGGCAAGCTTCCTGCCATTCTGTAGCTGCAGCTGGGCCTTCTGTCTCCAGGGACCCTGCTCACTGTCATGCCTGACCCCTTCTTGCAGTCAGCTGGAGCAGGCACACACTTGACAGCAATTGCTTCTAGCCTCAGTGGCAATTTCGGCCATAGTAAGATGTGCGTATAGCTCAGATCTTACTTTCTGTCCACAAACAAACCAAGCCAAGGGCAAAATAAACCGTTGCCCCATTTCCTTCAGCCATTTGTGCTGGGAACAAAGGGCAGGTGATGTGGAAATGGTTTTTGCTGGGGCTGTGGGTTCTCTTTAGGCTTCACAATAAAGGTGAAGACTGGGATTTTTATCTCCACCAAGGTGCGGTTCCTCTCTGCTTTTAGGTTGACGTGTGCCTCATGCTGCTGTGGAGTTCAGCAGGTGCTACTAAAGGGTCTGTGGACTGGAGAACAGGAAGGGGGGCCAAGTTGGAGAACCAGTGCTCTCCACAAGAGGTTCTCTTGGCCTGATACTTCAGCCACCACCCATTAGAAAGAGCAGTGAGAGCCAGCTAGTGCCACTGTGCTGCTTGCTTCCCTCCCCCTCTCCCCATCCCCGGGCAGGCATGCTAGTTCGCCTTACATTCCATTTCCAGCCTTTTTCCCCTGAAGAAGACAAGCAATGGACAAGCGTGCTCAGCCCTTGCCTTCTGCACTCTCTCCTTGATCTGTGCCAGCAGTAGATGTCTGAGGCTGCTACTGGCTTGGATCACATCCTGGACCAAAACTTCAAAGCACAACCCCTGCCCTCTTTCTGGTTTGAACTAAGAGCTCTGGGAACCAAATAGCAGGGGCAACTATAACTGGAAATCTCTATGCAGGGAGGGCAGAAAGGATGGTGCTGCGTTATCCTGGGTTTAAGGCACTTGAGCATTTGAGGATGGTGGTGAAGCAGCCCCTTCTCCAGCTCAGTCCACTGGGGAGCCCCCTCCACCTCACAAACTAGTTATGCCATCCTGTTTGGCTTGGCCTAATGGGGCCTACATTCCCTGGTGCCTTTCTCTTACCCAAGAACTCCACGCAACTTAATGGGTCTGTGGAATAACATAGACCACTGCTCCATTCCTGAGAAGGCTGCATATGGTGTGGCCAGTGAGGTGGTCTCAGCTAGGCCCAAGGGTCTCTTTTTAATGGATTGAGTTGCTACCAGGCTTCTTGAAAGCAAGTCCTGAGCCCCAGTGAGGTGCCATTAGCTCCCAAAACCTTCCAGATAGGTCACCCCTCCCTCATGGGGTAAGGGGATGGGGGCAGAGGACCACATGTTTACAAGTGTACTGTGCCAGGCTTTAACTCTCCTGGCACCTTGACCAATGGGACCATTTACACCTTGATGGGAGAAACTGGATATTAGACAGAGGTGGCCAGACCCCTGGAAGGATGCAGACTGCCATAGACTATCAGTTGCCCACTAGCACAAGGATACTGGGCTACAGACAAATCCCTGTCTCTTTCTCCTCTTCCCCCCATAGTGGTGCTCGTGCCCAAGGTGAGGGGAAAGAGTCTAGGAGCCAGGGGCCACCTGGCTAAGTGTTGTATGGAGATTAGGGATCTTTCTGCCTTTTATTATCGTAATTATTATTATTATTTTTTTTTTTTTGGCTTTTCCTTGCAAACCATTCTGAAAATGGGGACAGCCAGCTTTTGGCAAGCAAAAAAATTTCACATCCTCCCTTCTCTTGAGTTCTTGCTGTTTCCCTTCTCTCAAAAGCACAGTGGAAACAAAACTGGCAAAAAAACAAAAACCTGAATTGAAGATGCGTTGTCTCTTTTATACCGTGGGGGCCTAGGGGTGGGATGCAGTAGTGTGTGCAAAAACCTCTGGCTCGGATTCCTCTCACGCTGCTGTAGTAAGAGCGCCAATCTGGGAAGAGGGTCTCTGGAGCCCAGGGATCCATTGGCTGAAGAGTGACAAGTCAGTCGCGTCCCAAAAGGGGAAGATGCAGCCAGGAGTGAGAATGAGCCTGGGTGGGGTGGGGAAATGAGAACCTCTGATTTTCTCTTTTATTTTAATCTTTTTTTAAACCAGCTTTCCTAGCAGGCTAAGGACTTGCAGGGGTATTGGGAGGGAGTGTGGGAGGGGATGCAGTCAACTGGGATGTGGTTCTTGAGGGCAGGTCCCACATGGCTGAGATGGGCTCTGGGGAACTGGAATCCCTGTTGGTGCTAAAACACGTGAGCACAGGAGCTGAAGAAGGGGAGAGGTGAATATCCTTTACTGCTAATGCTGTTCTTAAAGCTAGTTATGGGGGGAGGAGGAATAACAATGTGAATAAACTTTTTTTAATGGACCAAATAAATCAAGGAAATTGAGTTTTGGTATAAAACTTTTTTAATGCTACCTTGAGTCTGTTGTCATTCTCTCCCCTTTCATCCATCTGCCCCTTCTCTCCTGCCATGGGAAACAAACCTCTTTACTGCTTGATTTCTGCCTTCTCTCTGACTTATGCACTTTTTTGCCTTTTTTCATAGCTGAAAAGCACCTAAACCTGTATTTAAAATAAATAGAGAAAATGTTAAAAAAAAAAAAAAAAAAAAAA